GTTCTCTTGGTTGGTTGTGCATCTTTTTCCTACCACTCAACTTTCTGTTAACATGCTTGGATACAGCACTCTGTGAACAGCCAGCTTCTTTGGCAATGAGTGTTTGTGGCTTACCCTCCTTGTGATGGGTATCGATGATTGTCTTCTGGACAACTGTCAGATCAGCAGTCTTCCCCATGATTGTGTAGCCTAGTGAACCAAACTGAGTGACCATTTTGAAGGCTCAGAACACCTTTGCAGGTGGTTTGAGTTGACTGAGTGGCATGTCACCATATTCTAATTTATTGAGATAGTGATCTGGTGGGTTTTTGTTAAATGTGGGCCAAAATCATCACAATTAAAAGACCCAACAGCTTAAACTACTTCAGTCTGTGTGTACTGAATTTATATAATACACGAGTTTTACTATTTGAGTTGAATTACTGAAATAAATGGACTTTTCCACGATATTTTAATTTATTGAGATGCACCTGTATGTAGCCTGACAGGCTAAGACGAGGGCAAAGAACATCTCTTTGTATAGCAAGAGACCCCATATGGGACCCTGAGCCAGAGGTTGAGAAACTTGTTTTTGGGGATTTGTTGGGTTTTCCATATAGTGTAAGGCAGCCCACTGGTGGCCCCCAGAGCGCCCTCTGGTGGGCCGCAGGCACAGTGGCATAACGCATATTTAAGCCAAGTTTATTTATTTTGTGTTTTATTTTATGCTTTTTTATCATTTATTTGGGAAGGTGGTCCTCAATCAAAAGTGGGCCTTGAGTTACAAAAGGTTGACAGCCCCTGGGGTAAGGCCTGATTATGCCCCGAGTCGACTGTTGTTGAGAATTGGTACTATACAAATGAATTGAGTTGAACTGAATTTAATTAAGTTGAACTTAATTGCTGCAGAAGCTGTGATTGTTTTTAAAGGGTGATGTTTGTCTTTTGCTTGTTTATTTTGGGGTTTGTGCGTTTATTGTTTTTATTTCTTTTTCTTTGTCTTAGCTCTGTGTCCTGAGGAGGCGGAGTCTGCTCTGGAGGCAACACACTTTTTCACTGAGGACGAACCACAAGGTGAAAATTGATGAACACAGTAAATTACTGATGTACTGCGGTATTTTTACTATTGTTGGTGCAGAACTCTGTCCGTGTCTGTGAACTACAATGGTGTTGGCTGATCTGTGTTTAACAAGCTGTTGTTTCCTTCAATACAACACACCAAGTTTGGTTTAGACACAGTAACAGTTTCCTGTGGAGAAATGCACAGCTTCACAGACTGATGGTCTTAAAACAGTTTAATAAAGTGACTTAGGCTTAACTGGGGATTTAGTGTTAAACTACTTAAATGATGAATAGTTATGTTAACAGGTGATCAGGTTCATAAATACATTGTTTCTGTGTTTGATTTGCCAACAGAATCTTTTTAGTAACACATCTGAATGTTCCCTCTCATGCTGCCTGCTTCTCTCCCTTCTTCTTCTTCTTTATGTGACGTTTCCCACCAGAATCCTCCTTCCTGTCTGATCCGGACATTTTGCAGCAGCAGGAAGTGACATCAGGTTTGTGTTTTTGTGGTTTGGAAAACCTGGTGTTGTGACTCCTCAGCTCTCAGACATGATGTGAGGCACTGCATGTCTTCTGTGATGTCACAGCAAGTGTTCTCACCTGCACAGTGCTGCAGCAGCTCTTTATAAACCCAACAGTTTGTGTGTGAAGTCCTCAGGTCTCTGGTTTTAAACTTGTGATTTACTGAGTCAGGTTTATTAAAACCAGTAAAGACTTAAGTGCAAATCTGTTGCTGTGAAACATCATAGATCTGTCCAATCACAAGTAAACTATGTGAACAGGAAGTCCTTTTGCATCGAGAGCTCCAACAGAACTGCCAGAAAGAACAGTTTTTGTGCCAGAGTGGTTTTAAACCAGGGTCTGCTCTTGAAGCCATGTCTAGGGGCCAGTGAGGTCTAGATCTGATCGCAACCAATAAAATGTGTGAGCATATAAACGTCAGTCATAAAATGCACTATAGAAATAATTATTCACATTGTTCATTCATTCTCTAATCTCTGACTCACACTGATCCCAGTCTGACCCCAGAAACACAGGCACAAACTTTCCTGGCTCTGGGGGTTCACACAAGTCACTGTGCGTGAGTGAAGGTACAGACAGGACCAGTCTGGCCCCGCTGTCATGCACCTACGCTAGGTTACCAACGATTCTGATAAGCGTTTAGAGCAGTGTGACCGCATTTCTCACTACTGTTCTACAACCCAGTCAGTCGAGTAACGGAGAAAATGATCAGCAGGTTGATCCCCGATGAAAATAATCAGCAGCTGCACTTGGATCCAAACAGATCCAGCAGAGCTGCAGCTCAATCAGCTACAACAGTCACATCCTGCTGTTACATCACTGCATGAGTGACAGGCTGGTAATGTAATACTGAATATATGGTAGTATATGTATAGGATATACAGTACAGTCTAACATTTTTCTGCACTGAGTAGCCTAACTCTACTTTTAATATTTTGTTTTAATAATACTGAATAGCCTACTTAATTTTACTTAACATTTTAAATGCAGGACTTTTACTTGCCACAGAGTAGGAAACTTGTACAGTGTGGTGTTAGTATTTTTACTAAAGTAAAGGATGTGAATATTTCATCTACTGGTGCTAACAAGCAAACTATCATACTTAAGTTATATAACATGTTATAGTTCAATGCTATTTTTAATCATGTTTATAATCCTGATTATTCTTTAGGGACAAAGAATAATCAGTCCACCTCAATCACCTGTCACAGTAACCTGCAATTTAAAAAGACTAATAACAATTGTGTAATACTGTGAAACCGTGATATTTTCTGAGACGGTTATCATACTATAGAAATCTCATACCAGTGCAACCCTAATGGCCAGATGACCAACATGTTACAATTAAAAGTCTGAAGATCAGAGCAGGAAAAGTCCTGATCAGCCCTGATTTTAGTCTGACATCTGTGGCTCAAACTAACAGTTTAAACTCTTTTAATTTCTTAATCTCAGTCTCAGTTAAACTCAGTTTTAACAATTTCTTTGTCCCAGTTTCTCTGACAGTTCAGTTTCTGTGATGATGATGATGATGATGATTTCCTGTTTGTGAGCAGGTGAGGAGGGGAAGGATGGAAGCGGAGACAGTGAGGAGAAGAAAGGTAAGTGGCCTACCTCCTGCTAACAGTATGCTGCTCGGTGAAATGCTTTACAGTTTCAAACCACAGCTCCACTCTGACTGTTCACGGATGACTGGGCAGGACTAAGACTAGAGTCAGTCTGAAAACCAGGTGCAGGTGCATGAGGTCCACATGCATCCTGACTACCACACTTAACAGAAAAGTCAGATTCAGGTCTTAAGGCGATTTTGCTCAAATACATAGTTACTGTACTTTTCCTTTTGTACACTACTACAGTGTGTTAGTTATCTGTAGACTAGTTACTAGCACTACTAGTTAGGTTTAGGGTGACCTCACACTCTGACCTCTGACGAGTTAGGTTTAGGGTGACCTCACACTCTCAGACATCTGACCTGTGATTGGTTTTGTTTCAGAGGAGAAGGTGAGGGACTACAAGTATTATCTGAGAATGTGGGCTAAAGAGAAGGAACCCAAGAAAGAGACCATCAAAGACCTGCCCAGGATGAACCAGGTGAGGAGCGGATCAGGTTCAGGATGAGGTTCAGGATCAGGTTTGAGTCTGAGGGAGTTACGCTGCATGTCTGTCTGTGCAGGAGCAGTTCATAGAGTTGTGTAAGACTCTGTACAACATGTTCAGCGAAGAGCCTCTGGAGCAGCAACTCTATCACTCCATTGCCACCGTGGCCAGCCTGCTGCTGCGCATCGGAGAGGTTGGCAAGAAGTTCAACAATGGCAACAAGAAGCCTGACACCCTGACGCCTCAGACGGAGGCGGGACCTGGAGAGGGGGGGTCAGGTGATTCTCAGATGTGCCAAGCTCTGGCCGATGCCCAGTTGGAGCCAGCGGCACCACAGACCTCCGATGAAGAAACCAAGGACGACACATCAGTATCGTCGTACTCAGTGGTGAGCTCCGGCTCACTGCAGTGTGAGGACATTGCCGATGACACTGTCCTCATCGGGGGTGGCAAGCAGAGACGGGCCAGCGTGCTGGATGTAGATTGGTCAATCACCTTTGAGCAGGTTCTGGCATCGCTTCTGACTGAGCCGCCGCTTGTTGACTACTTTGAAAAGAAGAGAGACATCCAAAACAAGATGGCCACCTGTAAGGCCCAGCGGGCCCTGGAGCGTCAGATAAGCTCTGCCTCTGACCACGAACTAACCCAGCACTCTATCTGACTTACCTTTAATGGATTCACCTTTAAAAACTCACCTGTACCTGTCTGCCTTTCTCACCTTTATCTGTCCATCTGACCACACCTGCACATCTGTCTGCAGGAACACTATGCTCAGGTGAGTCGGGGCTATTACACATCATTGATTTAAAGTCAGTTGATCTGTCACCTCCTGATTGGAGCATACCTGATGAGGTCACTCTGACAGCCTGTCTCTGATTAGCCGATTGGCACTGACTCACCTGTGACAGCTCTGACTGACCCTCTTCATTAAGCCTGAGATTCTGGACAAACCAGACCCCATTAGAGGACCAGGACGCTGAGACTGAAACCATGTGGTCAGTTTTAGAACTGGTTCCAGTTCTGTTTCATGAGGAGGCAGGTTTCACCAGACGAGCTTCATGTTCCCTGTATTCACGTTAAATTCTTCGAATCCATCAGACGAGTCAGAGTAGAACCACGTTCGAAGACCGATCCAGGGACAGACGTCACAATGATTTGATCAGACTCAGTGATGAGAGGATAAAAACAGCAGCCTGACTCTTTAAGAGAAACAAATGTAACCACACCAATCAAAACCGATTGATTTGTTTATTGAGTCTGATCATTGTTGATCAGATAATAACTGATCACAGTCAGTTCTCCAATCACACAGCATTAAGTCACAGCATCACTGTGATGATTTCACACTCTACCAGGGGCTCACAGCTGTTGTTAGTGAACTCAGCACTTCCTGTAGATGGTTCACAATTAAAAGCCTTGTTATGGAAGGCTTTTAATGCGAAATAGCTGCAGAAAGTTTGTTTCAAGAAGGAACTAAAGCAACAAAGATGTTTTATTTATGTTGAATGCAGCTCAGCTCAGGATCAGTACGCTGAGTCCTGGTGCTGTCTGTTGATCTCCTGTTGATTTATTGATCTTATATCTGCAGATTAGAGCACCACCTGGCCTGAAAACTGCAAAACGAGCAGGTAAAGCAAGTAAATGTTATGCTAGCAGTACTACAGATGTCCCAAAGTCCCAAAAATTTTTTTCACATGTTGAACCAATGTTTTCTCAGAAGTTGAAGAGCAAAATAATTTGAAGAACACTGATCTCCATGTAATCAAATCATTTCTCTCTATAATGGAGTCCCAAAACATTTTTCTTAAGTGAAAGAATGTGTGAGATCAGGGTTCGGGTTCTGTTTCATATAAATACTTGTTTGAATGCTCTTTTATGAATAGACTGTGCAGGTCAGTGCAGGGGAATCTTGACAAACTAGACATGTAAGCAGGTATTCCAGGGTCCTTTCACCTGACTTAACAAGAATGAAACTTTATTTAAGAACTTTAAATGGCGTAACAAGAAATATTGTTATAGTTTTTAATTGATTTTTAAGAAAAACCTTTTAAAGGACCATTGCATTATTCAGACAAGATGAAGATCACACAGAGGTGAGAATAAATTTTAACTCTGGTGAAATGACAGGATCTTTTGGGGGGTGAAATGTGAACACAAATATGAAACATGTCGATCTGATTCAGTGTGACTTCCACTTCCTGAGGATCTCTAATGTCCCTCCAGAATAAACCTCAATAAATCCACATAGAAAGCAGAGGAGCAGAAGCTGCCTGAGAATCCTCCTGTTTCTAAATGTCCTTCTTATCACAATGATCCAGCGGCAGCTGTCTGAACGTCCATGGGCGCCCTGCACACAGGAGCTGCTTGCTGCTCACTCTGTATTTTTCATGCAAAAGTCTAATTTCACACTGAGGTCATCATTGCTGTAATTATCACTGGGATGGGGATGAAAAATGACCCACAGATGTTCCAGGTGGGATGTTTTTAAAGTGCAGTAAGTACATTTCAGATACAATACAACACATCTCACTCTTCTAGAAACCAAAACAATATGACCTATAAACAGGTATAGCTGTGTCCATTCATCTGATGTAACAAAGTCAGAAGTTTAAATAAATTGATTTTTGTAAGAAACAGACAGAAAAAGACAGGTGTGACAAAGTTTTCATTACTTTTAAGAAAATAAATCTTTAAGGACTCGGTTACATAAAAAAATGACTGAATACGGAACTCAACAGTTAAATAAACATGTTTATTGTTTAAATGTTTTCTGTACAGTTAGATATATTAACTGCATATTATTAAAATTATGAGGTCATATTAATGAATAAACTTGTGTTATTGTTTCACAGGTGAGTTCACACCTATATACTTTGTTTATTTTGATATCACTGAAGTCTTGTCTATGTACCTGTGTCCGATGATATCACTCCGGTTTACTTCCTGTGGAATGATGATGTCAGAGGATGCTTCATTGTTTGTTTTTCCATTAATGTATTACTAGCAAGCTGGATACGGCACTGCCGATCAGCTAATTTTCCATAGTGGCCACTCATAGTATTGCAACGAAAAATCCCCATGGCGGCCCACAAAACATTTTCTCCATAGGCCAGAATGATAAAAGAGATGTCTGCAAAACTGTTGCCAGGATACATCAAGCTGTGAACCAGGTCACCTGCTGCTCTTTGTATTAAGACTTTTTAACCCATGGAGGTTTTATGTTTGTAAAGTTTTATTTTCATGACATCATCCTAATGTAAAGTTTATGGACCAAGCAAGAGGCAACAGGGAAACACTAATGAGCATGTGCAGTGGGCCATACAATACAGAAGCAAACCCACAATAAAAAACTTTTTTGGTGAATGCGCCAGGCGAGCAACTTTCAGTGTGAGGAATGGGCGCCATCATGAAATCCAGGATCCATCTTCCTAATAATGCATCCATGTTTTTTCTCTCTGTTGTCTTCTCTGTATTTATTCACCTGCTTTTAAATCTATAGTATTGGTCAGTTGTTGATCTGTATTGTGTTCTACTAATAAATACAGAAGGAACTACTTCTGTGGTCACATTTTTAATATTTATTTTTTAATTCAACCTTTATTGAGCTGACTAGAATCCCACTGATTCCAACTTTAACCATTTCCAATGGAGAAACAGTATTACAGGTTTCAGCAAGCAGAACAGCCTGATGTTTGTGTGCCTTGTTGTTGAGTGTGAAAAGTTGAAGGTGAAGGAATCTGTTGTACAGAATCAGTAAGCCACCCAATAAGCCACTTTGATAGTAATTGTTGCTCCCACCAAAGTTCTGAGAAACTGCTCCAGTCTCCACATGATCAGCCAGGCCACCTAGGGTTGGACAAGACCTATGGCCTGGCCAGCAAGAGGTTCTCTGGGCCACACATGAAAGCAGAAGTTGAAAAGTACTGTACTGAACTATGCTGTATTCGAAGGAAACCACGGCCTAAAAGAGCAGCTGAACTGTCACATCTCAGCAGTGATGGGCCAACGGATCTCATCTGTATAGATTTTCTTATGATTGAGCCTAACTCATGGAACATCTGCAGTGTGCTGGTAGTCACTGACTACTACACACTTTATGCAAAGGCCAACCACTGTTGCTAAGGTGCTCTGGGAGCAGTACTTTGTGCATTATGGGTTTCCAAAGAGAGTGTGTTCGGACCAAGGCAGAGCTTTTGAAAGCCAACTAATTCAAGAACTGGTGGGCATCCTGGGAAGAAGAAAATCCAGAACAACGCCCAACCACCCACAGCCTGAACAGTTCAACAGAACACTGCTTGACATGCTTGGAACCCTCAACGAACAGGACAAAAAGTAAATCTCAGAGTGCAGGTTTACTTGTGGTTCCTAGAGTCCACAGAAGTAGAATGGGAGCCTTTAGCTATCAAGCTCCTCTCCTGTGGAACCAACTCCCAGTCTCAGTTTGGGAGGCGGCCACCCTCTCTACCTTTAAGACTAGACTTAAGACTTTCCTTTTTTTCTGATAAAGCTTATAGTTAGGGCTGGATCAGGTGACCCTGAGCCTTCCTTAGTTATGCTGCTATAGGCCTAGGCTACTGGGGGGGCCCATGATGCTCTGAGTTTCTCTCCTCCCCTCCTCTTTCTCCATCCATCTATATGCCACCACTACCCGTCACTGTGTGTCTCCTCCCTCCCATAGTGTGTTTTTCCTCCCTACTGTCCCCAAGTGCTGCTCAAGGGGGATTTGTTGGTTTTTTTCTCTATAATACTGTAAGGTCTAGACCTGATTATGTAAAATTTCCTGAGATTATTGTTGTGATTGTATTCTCAATCCATCCTCCCCTGCCCTGGCCTGACTGTGCCCCTAGTGACCTCAGTTACTCTCACCAGTTGCTCATTTGCTTCCCTGGCCCAGTTTTTATAACCAGCTCACCTCACCCCACACAGTGTCATCAATGAGCTGCCCATGTGTCACCGGCTGTGGACTTCTTCTTCTTGACTCTGGTTTTCTTTCCTCACCATCACATTACCACAGTTTTGTTCTTTGCCTCATCCATCCACTCCGTCACATGTTGCTGTTTGGGTATGTTGCCACAGACTTTTGTTGCAGTTAGCTCTGACCTGCAACAAAGCCTTGTTTTATGTTTTTTCCCTCAGTCCTTGTTTTATGCACTTGTTGGTGAGAGAGATTTGCTTAATCCTGATTGCAGTCATCTATATACCACTGCGAGCTAACGCTAAATTAGTGCTGGAGGAGCTGTACTGCCTGATCAGCAAACCCAGAAGTTGGCTTAAGTCACTTAATGCATGCAAAAGAAGCAAGCCCATTAACAGTGTCCACCACTAAACACTGCATGTTGTAAAGCACTTGCTGGAATATCATTTATAGCCACAGGTTGAGATGCAGCTCTGCCTGGATATAACAATGAAGCTCTATAGAGGAAGAACATTTGCAAACCTATCAGCAACCAGTAACACAACGCACAGTCATTACAATGTCAGACCTGCCAAAGAGGGAGTTGTGCCAGCAGCTATATCACGGGAGACAAGTTGTGTTTGGAGAAAAAATAAACAGTTTCAGTTTTTCCAAACCAGAAACCATGTTTGGACAGTACAGTGTCATGTCTGCTCAAAGCTCGGGATGCTGCCATCAGATTAGGTGACAGGCTGGCCTTTAGCAGGGCCCGAAAAGAACTAAAGAAGGGCATCCAGCTGGCCAAACGCAGGTACAAACAGCGCACTGAGGGGCACTTCATGAATAACAACACACAGCATATGTGGAGGGGCATCAAAACAATAACAGACTACAGAGGCAACAACCAGCAGGTCAGCCATGATCCCACCATCCCTGACACTCTGAATAGTTTCTTTGCACGCTTCGATACACCTGGCAGCAGAGGAACTGAACAACTCCCTCAGCTCGAGGAACAGCACCAGCCCCTCATCCTGTAGCTACACCAGGTGAGCTCCACCCTGAGGAGGATCAACACCAACAAAGCTGCAGGACCAGACAAGGTGTCAGGCTGGGTTTTGAAGCTGTGTGCTGACCAACTGGGTGCCTGTGCCCAAGAACTCAGCTGTCACCTGCCTCAATGATTACCGCCCTGTTGCTCTGACACCAGTAATTATGAAGTTCTTTGAGAGGATCATTCTAAAGCACATCAAGGATGTCATCCCTGTTGGTCTGGACAGCCATCAGTTCCCCTACAGAGAGAACCAATCAACAGAGGATGCTGTCTCAATAGCATTACACATAGCCCTGTCCCACCTGGAGCATCCTAACACTTATGTCAGGGTGCTCTTTGTTGACTTCAGTTTGGCATTTAATACTGTAATCCCAGACAAACTGGTACTGAAACTGCACAATCTGGGAATGCCTGCAATGATGTATCATTGGATTAAGGACCTCCTCACCAACAGGCCTCAAGTGGTGAGAATCGGAAGCTGCACATCATCCACACTGGGTCCTGAACACAGGCACACCACAGGGCTGTGTGCTCAGCCCAGTTCTCTTCACTCTGTTTACCCATGACTGTGATGCCATTCACCCCACAAACACAGTAGTGAAGTTCGCAAACGACACCACCATAGTGGGTCTCATCTCAGACAATGATGAGACTCACTACAGAGGGGAGATCCAGCACCTGACAAGGTGGTGTTCAGATAACAATCTTGTCCTGAACACCAACAAGACTAAGGAAGTCATTGTGGATTATAGGAGGTCCAGGAAGACAAAATATGCTCCTCTTCTCATACACGGGGAGGTGGTGGAGCAAGTGGATAACATCAAGTTCCTGGGCATCCACATCACATCTGACCTGACCTGGTCTTGCTAACTCTGAGAGACGAGACAGCCCAAGTAACTTCAAAACAGTGCTGATTTATTCAAAGGATCACAGGTAAAATTAACATTACACGCTCAGGTATCTTCCACCTCCAAACTGCTCGCAGGCTGATGTAAGATGAAAGACCCTGAACCCACCAGGCCTATACATTATATCCCCTCGGTTGGGCTAGCCCCATATTACACAGAAACGTCAACCGAGACGTCTCTGTTGCCAGCTTTGCAGCTGGCCATAGCAGTAGTCAAAACATGAAGCAAATCAATGTGTGTGTGTCTGTTGGTTAAGTGGTGTGTAGCTAAAAACATTCTCACAGACTTCTAATACATGTCGTGACTTAAACATAAGAACATATTATGGCTAAGGCTACAGTTATACACGTTGTAATAATAATATTAAACTCCCTGTCTGCTGCCAGTCATCAACTCTTCTCTCTAGTTATCCTTGACCAGATGTACCCTGTAGAAACTCATAAGCATGACTAAGCATTTAACAGTCTAACTAGACATCCTGTCTCCACTAAACATTTCTAATACATGGGGGGGTTGGACCTGGAAGGGGAGCATTACTTTACACTTCCTCTGTGGTAGGTAGGTAGGTAGGTAGTGTAATACTTGTTGTATTTTGTATTGGAGGACTTACAAGCTATAAATAAAGACTGGAGATCAACTGGTTATGTTTACTCATGCGCTTTACTGCAGGCCATCTTGACTCACACATCCTCTGGATCTCGTGAGACTTATCCATGTAATGCATTCATACAAACAATTACAACTAAGGTTGCCATCTGGTGGCCGGGATGTTACAGGTAGAACTTTATTGATCCCACAGTGGAGAAATTCCAATGTTCCAGCAGCAGTAAAGGGCAAAACATGAGACCATAAGAATAAACACCATACACATATCTTGAGAAAACAAGATCCAGGTACCCGAAAAACCAATACCACAATAAACCACAATAAAGATTCTTGACTTCTTGACTTAACTCTTGACTTGTTAGCACAAGTTCCTAGTTAAGTACCTACAGTATGTGTAATTGAAGTAGCATTTACATGTATTGTGTTAAAGTGAAGTTACTCACCGTATGTGCTTGTGGAAGGAGAATTGCTGCAGTCCCTAGTTACTTCCCTCACCCTTTGCCTTTGTCTGCACATTAAGTTTCTAATTGGTTTTCTGGTATTCCTTGTCTTAGATTGTTCTATGTACTAATTCTGCCATCCATAACTAAATCCCATGGATAGTACATTTGTCTGGCCACTGCACTTGGGTCCTGATCTTGGGTGCGAACTGGTTTGTTCACACTTCTGTGGAACCATCAGATCTGAGTCACTGGGGCAGGTGATGAACGTATGAGCCAGCATTCACTGGATGCCACACAGTCATAGTTGAAGCACCTGCCTTGTGTGACTCTCCAGTGTTTGCTTTCTCTTCTTGTCCCAGTTTTGGACCTGTTACTCTCTTGGCCCCCGTGTGACTGCTGTATTCACCTGTTTAGGGATGTTTGTTTTCTCAGAACCTCTGCTCAATACCTTGATGTTGCTTGCCCTCATCTGTACTGTTTGCCTGGCCTGCCTGTTTAGTTACAAACTGTTCCCATATCTGTGATTATGACTCAGCTTGTATCCTACTTCAGCCTGTCTGTATGCTCTTATGTTCTGTGCTGCATTCTGGTTTGCCTGCCCCTTGCTTACCGTATCAGTTTACAGGTGTATCTTGTTACATGTGTGGTTGTATTTTCCAGTGCCA